AAGAGCAACAGAGGAAAGCTATGATTACCAGGTCAGGGCACAGACAGGCAGGAGGGAGAAGGAGCTGTGGGATGCTGTTGAAAGGGCAAAAGCTTCCGTTGAACAGGAGGAATAAATTCAGAAGAAAAGGAAAAGTACCAGTAACTCCAAAGAAAAACATATGAACAAATAGTTCAAAAAGGAAAAATAAAAACTGCTTGACTCTTTGGATAGGTAATTCACTTCTGGTGTCAGGAAGGAGCAAACGCTTGTACACCGCGAAGCATTCTTTGTCACCACCCCCTGGCACCAGCAGCTCACACCCGGGGCAACCACGCAGTTGATGGCTTGGGTAATCCTGAGAGATTTGATGTAAATATAAGCTTCATTGTCATCTGGGAGAAATTATAGGTGGATTTTCTATTTTTTTTATGATTACACAGATTCAGGTCTAATTTTTGTTACTTTCAAGATACATGTGGGGAATCACTGCATATTAGGCTTTGTATAGCTGCTGAGGATAAAATGCTGCCTTGGGCTGAGGATTGACTTCAGTGACGTAGTCCCTGCTTGACAAGTGTAAAATCCTGAAGTCAATTCCCTGTACCCCGCCCTCCCCGCACAGAGTTCTAAAAGCTGCCTTTTACTGTGTGTCAATACAGTCATATTAATAGACAATGTGTATTTTCTGTATATAGTTTTTGACTACAAATTATGGGATGAATAATATTTTTTGACCACGGTGCAAATCAACGGTTGCATCTATAGCATGGTTTGATTTTTTTATTGCTAATTTGCATTCTTTCATTTTTGTATGGCTTTGATTTTGTAACTAATCAATGAGTAGTATTATTTTGATCATAAAATGGAAGATTTTTTTTAATTTCAAGTTAAAGAACAAATAAATGAAAAGGATAAAGACCAAAAAGATGAATAGAAGAAACAGTTGTATGATACTATGACTAATCTCCGTAAGGAAGTGTTTAATTTGACTAGTTATTAGATTATCAATTTATAATTAACTATAATTTATTACTAGTGAAGCAATGCAGTAAGAAAAAATAATCCAGGAGTTACCAAATTCCAGTCACCCAAACAGATTCGCTGGGCAGTTTTTCTGTTTTAGCAAAGAAACTTTCAGTTCATTGTTATCTGTATGCCCCGCTCCCCAATCTAGCTGACCAGGGGAGATACATGATTAATGGCTCTTGCATGGACACTAACTGTGGCAGACAGGAATCTGGGCTTGAGTGAGCAGAAACAGTAGCTTAAGTATGAATAACTCCTCTGATTCAGAAAGCAGAAATTCAGAGCACTCAGGAAACCCTGTGACCTGTGCAAGGATGGCCATGCCTTGAACTGCAAGCGACCAGCCCATTTTAAGTCCATTAGATGATGCATAGAGGGCATTGTGTGGTTTGAAATTTTATTTGGATCACTTAAGAAACTGAGAGAAAGACCAGAGCTGGGTGCTTGTTCGAGCAAGATTCCCTTTTTTCTGACCCCAGAGAAAACTGCCCTCATAGTATTGAAAATGCTATTTTGTGTACAAAATAAAAGTTAACTTTTCAATTATTAAAACTCCACTTACCTTTTACCTCACAATATATTATATATTTACTTTCAGCTTCAATGGTCATTTTTTATGGACTAAATTGTTCTCTAATGATCACTTCTTTATTGCATCAGTAAAAATTTAGAACACCCACTCTCTGGTAGGCATTGTGCAGACAGAATCCTCTCTCTGGACTCAACAAATATATGTACAAATTCACATATTATTTGTCTTTTTTCCTACAGGAAAAAGGAATTTTCCTTTACACAAAGTCCAAGCCAAGAACTCCCAATTTTAATAATGTAGTCATTTCTATATATTTTAGAGAATGTCTATAGTAGTTGTTTTCAGCAAATTCTTTCCCATCACCCACCAGCATATTTTGAGTTGAGCAAGTATCTGTTTTAGCCCTAGTGCAGTGCAGAATACAAAATCAAACCAAAAGAAAGCATGCAGACAGTTTCTCTGTAGTATTACTGAAGGTTATCATCCGGTGAGATTTTGTAAAGGAGTATAATTGTCCTGGGCTGGAGTTCCTCACTGTACATAGCATTCAAGTTTGATTTAAGATAATGAAACAATTTAGCTTAGCAATATTCTTGATTTCCTTATTAGGATAAAGTCTTCCCCTCCCCAGCATCTTGGTGCGTGCATTCAAAAATTGATAATTTATGCATTGTACTTGGGAGTGTCCCTGCTACCCTTCAGCATGAATGCTGGATATATCAATGGTGCCAGGATTCCGGAAGGCCATCAGTCACTTTAAATCTGAAGAGATCTCAGTTTTCTCTTTATTATTAAATGTTTTCTTTACAGTTCCCTTCAGCCATAATGGTTTATGAACCTGCTTTTATTAGTATCTTAGAAGTAATTTTTCCTTTCATTTTTCCAAATGTATCTCTAAGCCAATAAAAAGTAAATGAATGTGCAAGGTTACTTACCTTAAAGTATGCCTGTCATCCTTGAAATACACAGATTTTCAGTTTTAAAATACATTTTTGATTATTTTTCACTGATAGTGGATGATTTTTCGTACAAGCATTAGGGACAGTGCCTGTGAGATATAAAATGTTTCTAAGATCTCAGTCATGTTTTACTTTTTCATTCATACCATCTACTTCCTGCTGGCATCAGTATATATTAATTCTGTTTTTATTGTCTCATAATGTTGGAAAATACCTAGCAAGGAGGAGTTATTAAGATTACCATTGTTTTTTCAAAAGCAACAAATCACTTTTTTTGTGTAGTCATAGGTTACACATACACACACACACACTCACACACACAGAAAAATCTACAAATAATGCCAATAAGATACAAATATCAACTCTAACTTTTAAAAATATTTTTAAAAGGAATCAGATTATATGTCTGTGATAGAATACTAGAAGCCAGGTACAGTGGTGTGTGCCTATACCCAACTACTTAGAGGCTGAGTTAAGAGAACCACTTGCACCCAGGAGTTCCAGACCAGTCTAGGCAATACAGCAAGACCAAAGAGAACCAACCAACCAAACAAACAAACAAAAAACTATAATACCACGTACTAGATATAGGACATGTGAGTACTCTCACATGCCCATACCCAAGCACACTGAAAGTGAGACTTTAATATCGGTCTTCCAACATGGGGTGTCTGGTGTAAAGGCACATGGGGCTCTTTATCCGCCTAGCACATAGGTCCCTCTCCTGGTTCCTCATTGTCTGAGCATTACAGGGTGCACAGTCTTCCAAGACAAGACCTAATTTTCATTATTTACTCTTAGGGTGCTCTCTTTTCCCTTTCCTACTCATGCCTACATTTCTTAGTAAAGACTTCTTAGTAATATCTCTCTCCCCTAATGTCTTGTTTGCTTAGAAACCTGCTAGATGCATGAACTTTATCCTGTCTCCAACCATTAAGCAATTTTAACTGCCAGCAATGTTCATCAACTACTTTGTCTTGAAAATGACCCATTTAAGTTTCAGTTCCTTACAGAAAATATGATTATTGATTCATGTTCCTGTTTTCTTTATAATACCAGTAAGATATAATAATCTACACCTTTTGATTCATAAATCCTAAATTATTTGAGTGTCTGCCTCTAGAAAATTAATGCCAAAATGGTCAATTCTTTAAAAAGTTCTTTGACAGAGCTTTACTCTTAATACAGCAAAGGACCAGACAAAGAAAGACATGGCACCAACGAGGTCTAGGAGACAGCAATTTATTACACTGGTGGGTATCACTGGGATCACTCCCAAAGAGTCAGGGCCTCACCCAGCAGGGTCTTGGGGCTTTTATGGGGAGAGCAAGCAGAATGTGCAGAAGCAGATTTGGCACATTATCATTGGCATGTGGGGTGATGACGACATGGGTAGCCAAGGAAGTTTAAATGTCTTAGTACATCGCAAGGCCATCCGTTAAACAAGCATGAGTTACTCAAGATGGAGGAGGAGTGTTCTGTTATCAGGCTCGTCCAGACATGTCCATTTGGCTTTGATGGGCATTCTTGGTGAGTTTTCTTAGCAGGCTTTCATTTAAAATTTCAATTCCCCTCCATTCGAAGTCAGTAGAATTGTATTGGAAGGCAGTAGAGATTATTTGCGACCTGTTGCCATAAACAGATTGGAAGAAAATATATAAAAAATCTTTCATTCAAATTTGTAAAATTTGGGAAGCATGTTTTGTTGTATAAATTTTTCATGGCCGCTGAAAAGTTGTTGGCAGTAGTTTCTTTAGCATAGTCAGAGATTAATAAGAACATTGTAGACATCAAGAAGACCAATGTCATAACATACACTGCATGTACATAAGTGAAATATGTGGAGATGACAACAAAGCTGCATAGCCTGTTCCTAATTCTGGGATCCTGGAACTGTTATTCTCAGTTTCAGGACAGTGATGTTTGGGCTGGACTGTGAAGGCTCATGGACATTACCTCAATAAATATTCAATTAATATTATTTCTTTACTCCTTTCTTGTCTTCTCTATTAAAGTATGTAAGTACTGTCTGAATATTTTTCTTTTGATTTTGTGCATACACTTGTATTCTACCGTGATAACTTGGTATAAAGCTTATATTGATTGTTATAAAGCAAATTATTTTGTGTTTTCCTTTAAGAAGAGCATGTAACATAAGTGTTTTTCTTGTAGGTTGTGGGACTGGAAAATATCTTAAAGTGAACAGCCAGGTCCATATCCTGGGCTGTGACTATTGTGGGCCATTGGTAGAGATTGCCCGGAACAGAGGATGTGAAGTCATGGTATGTGACAACCTTAATCTCCCCTTTAGGGACCAGGGCTTCGATGCCATCATCTCCATAGGAGGTAAGGCAGCTGTCACATGTTCATACTTTGCCATGAGAATAATGCATGTGGTTGAGATCACTGTCACGAGCCAATATTCATTCATAGAATGAATGTAGAGACTTCGATGTGTTAGTTTTATGTAACTTTTAAAAAATGTGTATTTTGACTGCTTGAGCTCTTTGACTAAGCTGTAATAGGCTTTTGGCACTATATAATTGTTTTTACTATTTAAACCATCGAACTTAGTTATGTATTCTTTTTGACAATTTATTCCTTTTTTTTCTATTTATGAGGAAGAAAGTGTTAGAAGAATCTAACACATTGAAAATAGTGCTTTGTTTTGCTAAAATGATATCACATTCTTCCAGAGTGAAGATTATAAGCATTCTCTTACCAGTATCATGCCCCAGTGGGGACTCTGTATTAATGGAGCATTCCAGGACTAATGCAGCAAGTGTCACCTGGACTGGTGTGCCATTCACTAGCACCCAAGTTCTGGAGAAAGAGATCCCAGCTGGTCACACTGCATTGGTTTTATAATGATTTTTTCTGTTCCTTAATACCAGAGATTGTTCATCAGTTTAGGGAACTTGTCCCTCATAAGGTTACAATAAATGTACACAGCAACTTACACATGCCAAAAAAAATAGGTTAAAAAGAAAACAAACATAATCATGCCTGAAATATGCAGGTAAGGCTCACTTTACTCAACTCATGCGTTCTGAATCACTAATGTTAGTCACTAGGAAACTGTTTAAGGGAATTCTATGATACGTTGTTTTGCAAGAGAAAAATCTCAAAGCCAATTACTTGCTCCAGTGCACTTTAAAAATGTAATATATTTGAATATAACAAGCTTGGTGTTAAGCTCATAAATTCATAATGATTAGAGAGATGATACAAATTAAATAACAATAGGTCATAAAATAAATACGTAACAGGATTTTAAAGGTGATCTTGTGTAATTTCTCAGCTGATTCTGGAATCCAATAACTGAATTCAGCCTACCTATTTTCTGTGCTCTCAGCAGGAAAATATTGCTATAGTACACGTAGATGAAGTCCTTTCCTCGCCTTTAAGTTGTGACTATGGTTTTTAAACAAAATTCCTTTATCATCTTTCAGGAACTGAACCTTCCCCCAAGGTACTTCAGATGACAAGTTATGTCCTCTTATAGTTACAACATTCTCAATAGAATATGTATGAATACATATGTCTATATATGTAATATGTATAATACAATTTTGTTTAATAAGAGGTCCTCATTTGTATGCTTTTTCTCCAGAATACATTTGACTTAAAAGGTGTTACTTATTTCATGTTAAATTTAAATTTAAAAGTTACTGCAAAAATTTTGATTTCCCAAGGTGAAATTATGATTGAGTAAATTAACATTTATTCATCTATAAATGGATAAAGACTTCCTTCCTTAAACAAAAGCAGGCCTCTTTTGAAGCCAAATAGAATCCTAACATATTAAAGACCTCCTGGTCTACTAAAAAGAAATTACTGTTTTGCAATAGCCACATTTTAATGTTTTTATTAATGTCTGTCCAGAATGAATACAGTAAATATTATTCACAGGAATTATGTCCTACAAAGTTTCTGTAGATACTGAATTAGCCAATCTAGGATAACACAGGATCGTAGAAGGAATACAGGATCGCGTTCCTGTAAACCACTGTCATAATATTTTTTTCAATGGATGAATACATAACCTTGTTTTATATGTGCTTCTGTTTAAAGATATTTAATTTTAAACTCATGCTGAAGGAAGCATACATGGTTCGCATATTTTCTCTCTAAGACCCATCACACTCTTCTGTTCTGAGAAGCTGCAGACAAGAGAGACCAGGGCCATATGCAGGGCAGGCTGTTCTAAACAGTGAAATTGTTATAGGAAACAGACCGAGCACAGGAAGAAGCAACACTGAGGAGGTTTAGAAGGTAAATTGATTACACCACTGGGCTTGACTGGGATTTCTTCAGAAGATTCAGAGCCATCTGTGGTGTCCTGGGTCTTTTATAGGAAGAGCAAGGAATACAGTTACAAAGGCAGATTTGTCACATTATGATTGGAGAGTTTGGTGTAGACATGGATTGCTAAGGGAGTTTAAACACTTCAGGTTACATCATAAAGTCATCAGTTATACAAAGCATGGTTTATACAAAAGAAGAAATGTCCTGTTACATTTTTTTTTTTTTTTATTTGTGTGTGTGTGTGGCCAGCTCAGCCCACCAGGGGGCGGGGCCGGCTGGCATGTGGTGGTGGGAGATTGAACCGCAGTCCCTGTGCTTTGTTGAGCTTGTTCTAAGTAGGTGCCTTAGACCACTGAGCCATCTCACCAGCCCTCCTGTTACATTTTAAGGCCCATTGCAAGGCCATCAGTTATGCAAAGGCACCAAAGACAAGGGCACACAAAGGAGCATTTGAAATTATACTTTAAGGCATCTGTTAGACAAGCTTACAAAAGGCAGGAATGCTCTTCTATGAGGCTTGTTGGGACACGGACATGTCTACCCGGTCTTCGTGGGCATCCTTTACAGGCTTTATTTAAAATTGCTATTTCCCTCTCAAAGTCACCAGAAAAGTTCACAGATGTACAGAAATTATAGCATTAAATAGACCATGAAGCGCGGACTTGTTTACAGGGTTAGAATTGAACTGAGAAGGAAGGGATTGCCTTGCTCTCCCTCAGCTGGAGCAGGTCTCTGGGCTCAAATTGCCTCTCTATGCAGAATGCAAAATGACCAGAAAAGTCTGCAAATATTAACTTTCAAGGTTACAAGTAAATTTTATATGTTGGCAACTTTGCAAATACAGAATGAATGAATAACGAGAGTATGCTTTATTTAGAGGATGTGCCCAGAGAAATTTTCAAGTAGAAGTTACAGAAATACAGATTTGAGAGTAGAGGCTGTAGGTACAAGTTATGGGAGATATTTTCAGCCCTACATTGTGACAGATTTGAACATCACATTGGATTGGGTCTCTCTGTGTGATCCCTAGGCCTCCTTTCAGCTCAGGCACCAAGGCACTACTTTCTGAAGTGCATGCATTCAGAAGGACCATTATGAAGTGCTTTCTTTGGAGGCTGCAAGTAGTCTGAGGTATAGCGAGACACGATAATTGATCAAAGATCATGAGGCTAGCTCTGACAGATCTACGATGAAGCACGTGGTTGGTGTTTAGCTCTTCAGGTGCATTTCGGCCTCATACCGCCAGCTTTCTCACACCATGGCCTGGTGAGGACAGCAGGGTTTGCACACTGTTGATGAGAATGAACTGCTCAGACTAACAATGTAGAATATGCCAACTGAATGGTCTTCTTTCGACAGCACTACCTATATAAGAGCCTTATTTTACATATTTAATATTGCTCAGTGGCATATAAACTATAGAAATTATTTTGCCTGAAATCATTGCTAGCGACCAGACTATGCTGGCTTTAAAGGACCAGTTCCAGCATTACCGGTGCTTCCTGCTGTGCTCGCTTCAGAGCTGGCATGTCCAGCTTCAGTAGGGAACAGCCTCACCCATGAGGTGTGTAGGCAGTTGATATTTGGAAAAATAATGCAGTGTTGTCTCTTAATCGAGACTACTAAAACTACTATGATTAAACTCCCCCAGGAACTAAGAAGTTGGCACTTTCTATATTATTGAATAAAATATGCCTAGTATCACACTGATACTAGGACTGCACAAAAAAAAAGCTGTCTCATTCATTGCCTTAAATCTCACTTTGACTGCATGGATTGTAAATGAAATGTATTTTTTAAAATGTGTAGATCAAAAAAATTTTTAATGTATAGATCTATCATATTAACATTTTTAAATGCTAAATAATCATTTGGGTTTGTACTGGGCTAGCTTAGCTCTGCATTATCTATATTTTAAAATAACCTTTTAATATTTTCTCTATTCTTTTGCTTTATTAATTTTATGAAAGCTATTTTCATTAGTGGTGTTGATCCTATAAAAGTATCAATTATTCATTAAATCAATGAGTAATTTCATAGAATTCTAACACTCACCTTAGTTTTCATTTAAAATTTTAGTAATTTGCACTTGTTACCTTTCTGGTTAACAAAATTCACAGGATTTTGGAACTGGAAGAGACTTCACAGATTGGTCATTTTAGGTTTTTATTGTAGTGGAAGAAACTGAAAAATCTATAAAACTTTAATAATTTCCCACAGTGAGCTTTCTATTAAGTACAGGAACTGAAGACAAAGTATGTTTCTCCTGAAAGCAGGACCGTGCTATTTCTTCCATCTGTCTTGCCATGTAGGAAATAAGGAGGTTTCACTGTATACCAAACCGTCTTTGCTGTTATACAGAAGTACTAATACATGTGGGTGTTCGTGTGTGTACTTAAACATTGAGATGTAGATTTTCTTTTTCAGTCATACATCATTTTTCTACAAAACAAAGAAGAATCAGAGCAATAAAAGAAATGGCCAGGGTCTTAGTTCCTGGAGGCCAACTGATGATCTATGTTTGGGCAATGGAACAAAAGAACCGCCACTTCGAGAAGCCAGATGTTCTTGTTCCATGGAATAGAGCCTTCTGTTCCCAGCTCCTGTCAGAATCCAGCCAGTCCAGGAGGCAGAGGCAGTGTGGATCTCCAGAGGAAAGCCACCCTTACCATGCTCCCTGCTCTGAGTGTAGCTGTTCTGTTTGCTTTAAAGAGCGATGTAATTCTAAACGATCCCATAGCCTGGACTATGAACCTGTCAGGACTAGAACATGCTGTGGAAGTATTTTGAAGGAAGGTGAGGAAGAAAATGGATTTTATAACACATTAGAGAAATCCTTTCGTTCTTGGTTTTTCTCAAGGTCATTGGATGAATCCACTTTGAGGAAACAAATTGAAAGTGTGAGACCCTTGAGAAACACAGAAGGCTGGGTCAGTGGCACAGTATCAACCCAACCTTCCAGACTCACTAGCTTAGACTTGGAGCACCAAGAGCCATTTTCAACAAATGGGCCAAGCTTAGATGAGGAGGTGTTTCTAGAAACCACTCAGAAGCACTTGCAGTGGTTGAGAGCACCGGGCACCTCAAAGCATTTAAATGCAGACCAGGGAGAAAACAGAAGAAATGGAGGGAAAACCCTTCTGCCTAGGACTAATTCTGGTGAGAGCTGTGTACAATCAGGTGCCCTAGAAAAAAGCTACCCTTGTGATAGTAAAATACTGAGAAGAATTTCTGCAGTCAGTTCCACAGATTCCAACCCAGATAACACAATTGCTGTTGACAAGGAACAGCCTAACGTTGTGGACTCAAGAGCCTTCATGCGCTACTACCATGTATTTCGAGAAGGCGAGCTCTGTGGTCTCCTGCAGGAGAATGTGGCTGAACTCCATATTCTGAGCTCCGGGAATGACCATGGCAACTGGTGTATAGTTGCAGAGAAAAAAGGAAAGCCATGACTCACTGAATCATTTGGGTCAACTTCTCCAAAGGATGAACCATGATCTCTTCAGTAGCATTGAAAATGAGGTGTGAAATTAGGTCTCTAAATTAGCACCCAATTCATTTTAAAAATCTAGGTATATTTTGGTTTAGAGACTGAGACTTGACCATCTTTTTAATCTTTGAGTAAGCACAGAGTTTAGCATTGATATAGGCTATTTGTGCTTAGGTGTTAATTTTAAAAAAAAGTCTGAACAAGCAATAGAAAATGCACTTTAGTACAGTTTAGATTTTATTCCCAATAAAAAGAAATTCTTATAAAAACATATGTATGTTTGTTTGCAGTATTATACATTGATTTTAAAAGATTCTACTCTTAAATGAACCTTTAAAAACAGTATTTTTATTATGTAAGGATATAATTTCTGTTTCCAGGTAATAATTTATAACAAGGAAATCTGTTCCACTGTTCAGATTCAGTTTGCTGAACAATGGGGCTAGGATATTTTGTTGCTAAAACTATCTTGCTTCTTTTTAAAGTCTTCAGAAACGTGGGAGACATAGATAGAAACATAAAAGTTGTAGAGACTTTTCTAAAGTATAAGCAAACTTCCTTCAGGGTTATAACAAGATTTTACAGGTAATAACAAGCTTCAGGGTTGCTCAATAGTTTAGCTGCTAGCAGGACTGGGTGTGGCTCAGCAGTGGAGCATATACCCAGCAGGTCCTGAGTCTGAATCCCAGCCCTGTACAGAAAATAAAGAAACGAAGCAAATAGAATGAAGGCATTGTTAGGGGGCCGGAGTGTGGTACAGGCATATGAGCTCTTATTCTCAGTATTTGGATGACACTTATTCCCAACAGTATTAGAAGGATAATTACCCACTTACAGTAACACCAGTTTTAACTGATCATTTCATTCTATTTTATTTATTTTTGTATTTTAGGGAAGGGTCTACAGGATGTTCAGGGTCTCACTACTACATAGGATCCGCCTGTTTACAGCCTCCCAAGAGTTGCGATTACAGGCGCACACCACTTCCAGTCTCAATTGCCATCTCAGTGCGCCCTGGGGGTGGGGCCAGCACGGCAGGCCTGGGGATCAAACTCCCAGCTGTGGCCCCTACCCCTGCTTGCAGGTGCTTTAATCTGCTGAGTTGTTTGGCTTGCCCTAACTGATCATTTTAAAATATATAATTATGCTTTGCTTATGAAGTGAAGAGATACTGAAGAGAGTCTAGTTGACACTCTGTTTTACTTTGGCCCCGAGGATGAATAGTTTGATAATGTGCCAATCTATTGTGCCTAACAGATTTTAGAGCAGGTATGCATTGTGATTCTCTATATTGTTTTTCTCAAACCAAACTACATGGTAAGAGGTGTGGATCACAAAATTTAAAAAGAAAAGAAAAACTTTTTGATTTAATGGTGATTTACAGTTTGTGACACACTGATAGGGATGTGACTCCTTCGGCTGCACCCCATGTTCTGTGCCTTCTTTAATGCACACCCCCCCAATTGATTGCCCATGAATAATTAATCACCTTATCTGGGAGGGGTCCAAGCTGTCATTTAATCTGCCTGACTAATCAGGTGAGCCACTTGCCAGTGCTGAGACTCCGGCTGGATCCCCACATGGTAAATAAATAATGAATTTACATGGAACACCAACATATTTTCTCCTTAGGGAGTTTTGCTTCTCTGTAAACCCTACCTCTACACAGAAAAAAACGGAGTCATAGTCCATTTGTAGTCAGTGAAAGTGCGTACTGAATTCTGAGCAAATCAGGGTTAGATCTAGGTTCCCCGAGGAGGGAATTTGGTTGAAGGGCAGGCATTATTCTTAGGAGCTAATCATGTTACATCCACTGAAATGTTCTAGTAAATGTTTGGAGAGAGACACTATTAGGAAAAGTTTGCTTGTCTACTCTGTTTTTGCAGAACATTTTCAGTATTTAAGGCCCACTAGTAAGGTCCACTAATAGGGATAATGAGACTTTAGTCGTGTTGTTTGTATATTCTGGCAGATGTCATCTACTTAAAAACACGGCAAGATGCTGTCTGAGGAAGCCGTCACTTTCTCCATCTTTGTGCTCACCTTCTGTTTCACAACAGAAGGTTGGAATTTCTGAGACTATGTGGATCTGTCCTGATTTCTGGAGATGCTCTTAATTATGTATGTATGTAAATATATATACATACATCCATTCCTAGACATGGAGTGTTTGTTGTGGTTACTGACCAAGAAGAAATGGCTCTCTTGTACACTTATAAAAATATAAAATTACCACAGGAATGTATCTTATTGAATAGATTTTTTTTGTTCCAGAGAAATTTCAAGATGATTGTATATATCCTCTTGCCTCTTTTAGTGTTGATGTGTTGTTTTGTGTCAAAAAAGCAAAAAGTTTTCATATAATTTATTTTGGCTTTTCCAAGAAAAAAATCTAGCAATAGTTTTAAAAGCACAAACTGATGTAAAAATATCTTGAGTTGTAATAACTTGAATATGTATTTTATTTGTATTAATTAACAATGGTCAGAAACTTTTGTAGTATTATTTAAAAGGGTATAATTTATGTGCTTACAATAGGTAGTAGATTATATATATATGTATTTATTTATA